CCTGCCCGACCCATCATGCTAATCAGTGGCGGCGCACCAGCAAGCAACGGGTTAGCAATTGCTTCCCCTAAAAAAACTTGGGGGAAGCAATAAACTTTTATTGCTTCCTCAAAATTTTGGCGCTTTTCAGTATATTTGCTAGAATAAAACTATCTAAATCAACCTACATATACGTTTGCAGTTAAAATAGGTACGTAATTTCATTTTAAAGTTTATTGCTTCCCCTGAAAAACTGACCTTGCGCCGCCACTGATGCTAATTGATTGGCCCAGCCCGGCCCGGTCAGTAGTTTTTCCTGGACCGCCCGGCTTGAGCCCGACTGTAATTGTTTCTAGACTCAATTCAATGTTGTTATGGCAAAAACGCAGTAAAAGCTTTGCTAAAGATTAGTTCAGCAGCATATACATATTGTACAGCACATATTCAAGAATCTATTGTACAATAAACTCAGTAAAGGATAGAATTCCCTTAGATGGTGTATTTGTTTCTCCTTCTATCATTAGTCACCTGAATTGACCAGTGATCAAACTCTTTTTTTCTCAACAGAATTCACTAAATAATAATAACATATTGTTACTAGGAAATAGCTAAATCTAACTGAAAATATGGAGAAACACTTTAAAATTTTTCGGGCCGGGCCGGACCGTAAAAAACGCTGACCCGACCGAGCTTAAAACTTTTCTCGGACGGTCCGCCCGGCCCGAGAAAAAAAAGCGACTGGCTCGGCCCGGCCTGGTCCGAGGCGAGTCGGTTCCGGGCCGGGTCATCGAGTCGAGTGGATCGGCAGGAGCTCTGATAGGAACAACATATGCAGTTTTTCATAGAGAAGGAAAATTACCGGAAGGAAAAATGGAATGAATGTGAAGTGAAAGAATGTTAGCACACGAAGAAGGGAAGGAAAAGAAGATTTCATCAATACCAACAGTAGACGTTTTGTCCCACTTCCCGGAGTAGACTCTCGACGTTGCGCACGGAGAAGTCAAGCTGCTTATCCATCGTTGGCAAGTCTAGAGTGGCAGAATGAGGAATTTGACCCTGAAGTGAAGAATAACAAGGAGAAAAATAAGAGTTGAAAACTCCAGCTTTGTTCACATCACGGTTTCCGATTGTGCTTAGGGATGGGAGGGATTAAAAATTTTGCTTAGCAAAGAGTGGCTGGCGAAAAAAAGTTTTCGAAATTTTTTGACAGAAAGTTGCTGGTGGAAAAACGTCAAAAATTTTGCCATAAAGTGCAAAAACGTTTTTAGGGAGGAGCCCGCATCCCCCTGATCGGCAACCCTGGTCCGCATCTGTAGAAACTGATTTGGATCCTAGAAACATAGACTGAGGTATAGAGGAGTTGATAGAACTCCAAAACTTATGAGGATCGGAAAACAAAGAGGAAAGAGCACGGAGATAGGAAGACTTTTAAGGACGATAGAGCGAAATAACAAAATTTCTTGTTTTAGGAAATTCATGAAGGGTAGAAGAAGTATAACGACGTTTGAGTTTCTGAAAGCGTCGGTTATGAATCGAAATAAGGTGTGCAAGTTTTGGAGAAAGCGAAAGAGTGGAACATAGAGCACGAACAGGCATCAGTGGGACAAATCTTCGGAAAGCATCGTTTACGCGCTCACATATCACCAAATCGAAAAATTTTAAAAGCTTCTTTAGTTAAAACCGATTGCAGATCCGTCTTTTCCATAGTCGATTATATTGTAAGCGATAACTTTTAGAGTGGGCTACTTCAGAAAAATTTTTCGACATCGTTTTGACTCTGGTCCCTTGTAATAACTTTTTTACAAGTACAACAACTTTTTTTAGAAATTAACTTTTTCGAAATTTTTTGAGCAAGACAATGCGCAAATTTTTTGCTGAAGTACCTCGATCCAAAAGTTATCGCGTACAAGATAATCGACTATGAAGAAGTCGAATCTACAATCGATTTTGACCGAAGAAGCTTTCGAAATTTTTCGATTTGGTGATATTGTCCAAATGTGGACGGTCGTATATAGACTGTTGGATATAAGAGAACGAAGACGCCTTAGTTTCAGCCACTGAGCTTTTTTAAAGTTATAACGAAAGGAAATAGAGGAGGATAGAGATTGAAAAGATATATCAAAAGTAACAGATAAACAAAAATGAAGAGGACAGCCAACAGGGGGAAACGAAGAGAGAGAAATACACTGTTCTAGAAAGAAGGATAGAAGATATATACTACGATTACACTACAGGCTTAATCACGTTAAAATTACTCATGATTAACGATTTTGTAGTGCAACCGCATCCTTTCTTAATCTTGATTAAAACGGTCGCACTGCATGTAATCGCGATTAACACTAATCTTGATTACACTATCCATCTTTTAATCATGCTTAAAGTTAATCATGATTAAGGTCGCGCTCACACTACGAATTAATCGCGATTAGCTTAATCGTGATTAATAACACAAAATTCAACAAAAGAATACAAGAAAGTTAGAAAGACCTGTTCAAGTTACTTGAATTTTATTCTAAAGAATTTCCCATAGTCTCCCGGTCTTATAGCTTTTACGGCTGTATGTAATTTAAAGGTTTGATTACCGATTGAGGCGTGTTTTTCGTCTCAATGTTTGTCTGTTTGAGTTGACATGGCCACAAAACTATGTACGTCCCGTCATAGATGGTGGAGCCACTAAGCTCGTTAGGCTTGAGCCTTGCCTCAATTTGGCTCTGTTAGGATGAGCCTTGCCTTAATATGAAAAAATTAGCTTCGTTTCCCACCGTTTTCCACGGAATTTGCTGTTCATACCAGATAGCCAAGCAATAATATAATACTTTATGGAAAAACGCATTAGCGAAATGGTTTTTCGTAAATTCCACTCCTTCCCCCTCTGCTGGAGGTTTTGAAAGGCACAAGCCTGAGTCTTGCCTCTCCCAAAAACGTTCCGCCGTCTCTGCGTTCCGTTCTCAAAGTAAGTTCGGTTATTCTCACGATTAGTTCTTTATTTTTTACAGCGAATTTTTACCTTTTCCTTCCTCTTACGAGGGAACCGCCTTAACTGTCTCGCAAGTTACGACTCCATATTAGCAATGAAAGTAGATCTCGGCGAGAATAACAAAAGCCTAAAAGAGTTCGGGTCCCTAGCCTATTGGTCAAGAATTATCATCATTTTACTGAATTTTCGATTCATAGCCGATTGTTTTCGTAAAAGTTGAATTAAAGAATTTCGACCTAAATTGTGCCTGTAGATAGACCTAATCGTTCTTAGAATATCGTGAAATTTTCAACAGAAATGAATGTGTCCTTCTCAACACATTGAATTTCTAAAAAATAGCCACTTGTCACACTAAAGGTACAATAGTAATTTACTTGTAAATTCAATATGTTGAGGAAGACATTCATTTCTGTTGAAAATTTCACGATATTCTAAGAACGGTTAGGTCTAACTACAGGCACAATTTAGGTCGAAATTCTTTAATTCAACTTTTTAAAACATACCAGATCTCGAAAAATTTTATTTATCTTTGTATTATACAGAAAAGATTTCAGAATAATGAAGAGTCTGAAACGAAAACTTGTGCATAGAGCACATTATTATAATGCCGTTATATTACATTTCTGCTATACAATATGTATCATTTTCATTATCGTTTACATTACAAGCAGACAAGAAAATAAAGTTATTCTCTTTGTTTTCATTTGTGCCATATTCTCTTAAATAGCAAAGTATTGCAAAAGATTTTGCACTGACGAATCGTTTTGCCGAAGACTGCACTGCTCGGAAAGTTGAATGTATGCAGGTGTGAGAGTCTTTACTATTAATTATTCCCGAGGTCTTTTCTGGAGAATAAAAAAAATAAAATTATCCGAGATCTTTTGATTTTATTCTTTTTTTAATGTTGTAAGTACAGCTTATAAAAATGCAAAAGTTTATAGAAAAACTAAGAGGAACAAAAAAGTAAAAATTTGTTGTAAAAAACAAAGAAAAACTAATTGTGAGAATAACAGGATTTACTATGACAACGAAACGTGGATCGTTTTGTGACTATGTCAAATCTAATAGACAAACATTAAGACGAAAAATATGCCTCAATCGGTAATCAAACCTTTAAATTGCATACAGACATAAAAACTATAAGACCGGCGGATTCATTTTGTCAGCGACTGCACTGCTCGGAGGGTATAAGTACTTAATACATGTAATTAAGTATAAATGTACTTAATACATGTGTATTTTTTCTGTATTATTATTCAGATTTGCAAAACAAAAGGCGTATCCAAAGTAACCCTTTACGGCCGGCTGCATAAGCCATTTAGTAACAATATCCCCTTCTGTGAATATTCCTTTTCTATCGGCTGCCAAAAATTAACTAATAAAATATTCCTCCCTTTATATTTATTGTTTTGTTGTGACAGGGATCAGCAAAGTGTATTCTTTTAGAACGAAATTCCTTCGATACTTAATAGATCGGTGTTACCGGTAGTCAACACTCGGGGTAAAGTGTATATCCAAATTTTCAAGTGTCTAGTGTACTGCTTTTTTCGCAAAGTGTAAGGTAGATTCGTATATATTTTGTTATTTCATCACTAAAGCCGCTGACACTATTATTAAATGAACATAGTTACGACATTTCTTAAATGTAATGGGATGTAGAGCATGAACAGTGCGAGGATAGATTCTTTTTATCGTTATTTTTGTATATCTGTTATTTCACTTCATTTATTTGAAAATAAACAGAAAAAAAATGACAGTGACTCATGATGAAGTGAAGAATGACGAGTGAAACTCATAGGGTGATCGTTCTCTGAAAAGGGAAAAGAGTAGAAATGGAAATTGCAGAAGAAATGAAATAAATCCCATGTGTTTTCAGTAAATATTCTTTAGGGATATGACAGAAAGAACCCCGAAGATTTTTTTAAAGAATCGAGTAGAATTCTTTGCGCGAAAGTTGATTAGGGCGAATTATTCTATGATTAGAACATTATCACTTTAAAAGTTGTATGTTTATTGAAAATTGAAAAAAATACTGGTATGAAAGATGCATGTGGTTTCTTCACTACAGCATGTGACACATCTCAAACTATCACAAATTCAATTAAACTTTTTTATTCAGAACACTATATCAAGTTCAAATTCACGAAAACGTAGTGGTACACTTCTCGGTTTTCGTTCGATTGGTTTGGTCCGTTGGTTACACACCCACATTGGAAAAGACAAACGAAGTCGATCAAAAACAACAACAACATCAACACCACCAATAACACCTACATTAACTTCGCATACTCTCAAAGCCAATAGCACCCAAAATATTGCTGATCAAGAATCTGAAAGGTTTCAATCGGATGAAAAAAAAATAATTCCTTCATACCAAGCGGAACGAAAACGTTCTGTTTCAGAATTTGCTCTTTTCTGAAGAAAAAAAAAGTTCCATACAGTTCCGTCTCTAATATTTTTTTCGTTTAAATTTATCTTTTAACTGCAATCTATGTTTGTTTATTCTGTCAACCTTTTTCTTTTCTTGCCTTCATGACACATACGTAAAATAAATTTATTGGTGTATCTTTTTTGTCTAAAAGCAAAACTGTTAATGTCCGATATATTTTTATTTGTTATTCAAAACAAATTATTCGATTAAAATACCGGATAAATTCGATGTAAAAATTATGTCAAGCAAACTAAAATTTAAAAATAGAAATATTTAAGAGTGAACTAAAGCAGCCTATTGAAACGATCGATTATCAGTAAGTCTAGCATTGATATAAGTATCTTTCTTGAAGTAAGTTTAGTCCATTTTACCCATAGAACCAAATAATTCTAGTTCCTGAATCATACATCTCGAATTATTAACCGTTCAAATTCAAGGTTGCTTTTATGTGTTTTGAAGTTGAATTTTGTTCTTTTTCTTCGTTAACTAAAACAAATTAGAGTGTGTTTTTTTTCATTTGGATCCTCATAGTAACACGGCAAACGTAGAATCATCAAATAAATGAAGACAAGGAAAAGAAATATTCTTTTGTTCTCTCGAAAGAAAAAGTGTAGTGCACAAAATTTTTTTCCTTTCCCAATTCTTTTTAATGGACTTCTTATGTATGTCTAGATCAAATTCAAGTTGACTTTTCAGTATATAATGTATTTTTTTGAAGAATATAAATATTTGATAAGAACACCGTTCACTCCTTAAATCATAGTCCTATACAATCTCTTTTACTTTAACAAGAATCTTTTTACGTCATTTTATAGATGAGTGGGATAAAAGATACAGGAAATTACGCTTCCGAAGCAAACGAAATTTGTCCACTGTGTAAAAAAGTCGGACATTTTCTATGCATACACTGCAAGATGTTATTTTGTGGTGAATGTAGTTCTGTTCATCAAACAGATGTTATTCAAACAATGAAAGATATGATAAATCAATTAAAAATACAAGAAAAACAAATTAAAAGTTACAATAATTATGTTCAATCATATAAAACCGCACTCGATATCAATCATAATATGGCGAATGAACTTACCACTCAAATAAAACAATCAGAACAAGAAATAACAAGAAAAATCAAAAATGGTTTACATGAAAAAGGAAAAGAGCGTGAATTCTATGAAAAGTTAGTACTTGACTTGACTAATTTCTCAGTATTATTTTATTTTAAATTTTTCTTTTGTATTTTTCAGCTCTCAAGTACTCAATTTAACTGAAGTAACTAATTATCAGCGATTGCTCAATGATCATTTGAAGAATAATCAACTCATTGATGAAGAGACATTATTAACCATCAAAAATAGCTTAGATTCAAATAAAAAGCGACCACTAACAGCGCCCTCGGATCCAAAACTAGAATTAGGTAAAATTTATAGAGAAAAATTGTCACAATTTCCTTTCGATATGGATACCACTAATTCATTTGATAATACAACAGATCAAAAACAAGGAAATAAAAAGTTGTTTGTAACTGTTAGTTTAACAACAATAAAAGAATTTCAGTCACCCTTGCTACGTACATTTTCTGTCGGTAATCTGCCGTCTGTCATCTCATTGCCACAAAAATATTTTGAGTACTTTTTTGTCCGTAAAGGAAACAGTCTGTTATTGAAAAGTACAACAAGTATTGATTTATATAATCGTGGTTCGGGATTAGAACTAGCAATTAGAACGAAAATACAAGACAGACTATTAGCAGCTGATTGGTGTGAAAAGTCACAAAAACTAATACTGATCGGAAATCATAATCTCTACGAATTCGATATGGATAGACGAATAAAGCCAAAAAAATATAGTTGTGAACCTGTTCAAGGAGATCCGTTGTGTTGGCCAAGATTTGTTCGTTGTATGAATCGATTTATTTTTTATGCCTATAAAGCCGATGCACAAAGTTACATATTAGAAAAACATGACTTGACAAGATCAAATAATATTAATCTTGTACCATTGAAATCAGTAAACGTTAATGGAAATATTCGTTGTATGTGTGTCACTTATTCTTTCATTGCAATTGTTACTCGTCGGGAAAAGAAACCTGAACAATTATCTTTAATTTCTAAAAATAATAATAATATCGAACAATTTGAACATGTTTTATGTGTTTACGATCACACATTACAAGAAAAAAAGACAGAGAAGTTACCAAATTTAAAATGGGTTACAGGAATATGTTCATTAGGTGAAAATAAATATATTATTTGTGATCCACGAGCACAACAACTTGTTTTAATACATTTGACAGATGACAATAAAAGCAATATTCTATTTCGACGATTTAAAATTGGTGCTGTAAATGTGTGCACTCTACCAAATGGAATGTTAGTTTTATGGTTACAGAAACAATATGCATCATCGCCTACAGGTGGCAAATTACATTTTATTAGCGCACCTCATCTGACGGGACGTATGGACATTGCCAAATCGTTTCCTCTATTAGAACAAGTTGATTCGAAAGAAAAAACCAGGACAAATGAGATAGATCATTAAAGGACTTTGAGAAGTTTCCTGTCACCGATTGACCTTTTCTTTGTAATACATCAGAGAAAACCAATACTATTCGTAACTTTTTTAATTATGTTCTAGTATGATAATTACATATTATACAAGTAATAGTGGCAGGTAAATTTTCAAACCAAGCCAGTTATGTAAATAAGCTAAAAAAAGTGCAGATCGTGTTGTTTTAAGGGATAATGGCGAACCTTGTGCGTTAATGGTGACATCCTGTTGAAAAATGTTTATTCTTTTCTCAATGAATCAATTTAACTTCATTATCATTGGTACTATTAACTGTTACTGTATGACTCTCGATGGCTAAATAATCATACAAGACAATGTGCTAAAGTGTATTGTAAGACAGTAAGCTTCTAGCTACATATTTCTTCCTAATGCGCTGATCTTTCACATAAGAACTACAAAGGTTTTATTTTTCCGACTATTTTTCATTTTAAAATTCATACTAACAAAACTCAAGAAATCTAAAAATAAAGAGCTTATTTTAATTTTACTGCTATCTATTGTTTATACTCTCTTTGCCTTTTTAATATAAATGTTCTTTGCTTCCTCATCTGAATAAACTTTGAAAGAAAGTAATTGCATATTTTTAAAAAAAATAAAAAATTCGTTTTATTTTCGTTTACATAATTCATTTTTCTTTGTTGCGATGTTTAAGTAGGTCGAGATGACGATGATTTTGCTTAACAACAAAGTTTATCTGTTAAACCATACATGTTTTGTTTATAATAACATAATATTTATCAGAGCTAGTCACGAAGTGGATTGAACTCGACCTTTAAAATTCTTATGAAGAAATTTTCAAAAACGAGTTTTAAACTTTTGATTTAAAAATTGTGCTGTATTGTATTTGTTTAAGTATAATGAACATGTATAAGTAGAAAAACATTTATGAAATGTACTCGATTGTTAAAGTCCATGACCAACTCTGATACCTATGTGGAGACGGGGTAAGTTGAATAACTGTACACATTGGTTGAAAGAAGTGCAGGCATAAGAAATCACAATAAAACAATATTGCCGTAATACTTGAAATAATTTTGTGATACTAAGTATTTGGACAACATGTACCATTTAAGTGTGTTATTGATGATAAAAAAAGCTTTCCACTTTTTTGTGGTCATCCGTGATAGCATGAACTGCCTGAGAAAAATGGGATGAAATTAAATCTGGTGTCTTCATACCTCTATCATCCACGGATCTGATCTTCCGTACTGGTATCCCCTTGATTCATTTTAAGATCAAACGATATCAAAAGCCCGACATTTGAAGTGGAGATGAGCGTATGGGATGACATAAGGTTAAATCTCCAGTATCAATCAATACTGTGTAGAACTATGCCAGTTGATTGCACACAATAGTAGATTTAGAAAATGAGAAAATCAAGACGTAAATTAACCATAAGTCTATAATATTTCTCTGTACGAGGGCAACGACTTTCGAGTCAAAAATATAATAATAATTGCAGCTGTTTTGAACTTCATACCTTTATTTGTTGATATTTCGACCTTTAACCTTTATGTTTTTGAAAATGACCGGTTAAAGGTCGAAATATCAACAAATAAAGGTATGAAGTTCAAAACAGCTGCAATTATTATTATATCTATAATATTTCTCATATAGAAGAGAGTTTTTACTCTTTTCAGCAAAACTTCAAGAGTTTCAAAAGTTTTGGACACACTACTTGCAAGCTCACGTTTCTTGTTTTGAAAATATATCATATAATCTTCCAGAACCACAGCTTTATGCTTTTTCAACCTCACAATGGTTTTATTTTGAATCTAGATGCCATACTACAGACTCATCCGGAAGCAAACGGTACAGGTGAACTATGATGTAAGAATTTACGGATTTGCGCTTATTTTCAAATATATTCTCACGATGTGTTTGTATTCTAAGTTCTTATTGTTATACTCGTTGAGCTGATCTTCAATTTCAGTAATTTGATCTATATGAAGAAAGAAGCTGTGATACCAGTGGAAGCTCAAAATATCCCATGACTTTTGTCTTGCAGTCATTTTATTCTGAATTTAAATCGTTTTCATGCACTCTGTCATCTGTTTCCACTTTTTATTAGAGAATTTTTGTTTGAAACTATAGTTGAATTTTATATATGTTTGTTTTTGACCCAAGATGTTCCATCATGTTTTGGTTTAAATATTTTTGGAATAAATAATATTCGTAATAATTCAGCACCATTTTCTATTTCAAAAAATTGGAACCAATTTTTAGTAAAACCTAAATCATACGTGTTTGTATATGACACTGTTGGATTTTGTTTTTTGTTTTCTTTCATAATCTTCTCTTCGACACACGTTTGACCTTTTGAAATCAATGTTATTTGCCATACTGTTAAACTTAGAACAAGTAACATTGTGACAAGATTGAAAAGAAATAAATAAAATATCAGAAATCCTGCCACTGGATGAATAATGTTTTCGTATGGTATCAATGTTTCAACAAGAAAGAAAGGTTTCCAAATAGGATCGTACAGACGTAATAGAATTTGGTTAAATAGTTTCATTTGTAAGTGATAGTGTCCAAAATATAATGCATATGCTGATATCAAAGTCATATAAATGCAGAATAGAAAGAAATGATAATGATTATTATAACTAACGCAATTGTTAAGCCATGGACAATGATGATCATATCGTACTACACACGTTTTACACACACGACAATGATGACTACGTGGTGGACGATATAGGGAACACTTTTTACACAATGTAAAACGGCGATCGGTTTCTGGTTCAATCTCATTACTAAGTTTTAAATTTGAAACAAAACCAGTTGTATTAACGGCAATACAATAATGAAATACAGTATTAATTAAAAGCCAGTGACCAATAATTAAATGGAAATAAAATTGAATATACCGTTGTTCATGCCACCAGTATGGAAACAAATAACTATAGAACACATAAGCATTCTCATAAACAAGAATAATAGTTAAAATAATGCATAATTTTTCAACAATTTGTCGGATAGGAAACATAGTTTACTATGTTTTATTTATATGTAGCTAAAAATACTCCCTAAACTTCTTTCTCTCTCTCTCTCTCTCTCTCTCTCTTTCTCGCTCTCTCTGTGTACTAAATCAACGAACCGTAACAATTGTAAAGTTTCTCCCAATTTACGTAACCAAATACGTTTGAGAGAAAAAAAACCCAAACACATTCTTTTAGCTGGTTTAAAGGTGAACGTTTGTTTCTAGCTTCCATTCAATTTTTTTAGTTATTACATTTGTTCTTTGATGGATTATTATTGAAATAATGCGCCTATTTGATAATTACTTTATAAGGGGAAATTGCGATGCTTAGATTTTTAACTGATCCGCACAATGAACTATCTCTATTTCCGATTGTCAACACTTTCATAAATGACTTTGAGTTTGTTTGTCAGCATGATTGAATTTTTTTACACATTATTGATATAGAAATGTACATCATCATAGGACATATATGTTTATATTGATCAAGTAAAATGGATGTTTCAAACACTCGCTTTTATGTAATTATAAAAAAAATTTTCGTTCGTTAAAACGGTCTTTTTTTTGACAAAAAAAGAAGTCATTTCTAACTTGAAAATTAATATTCTCAGTAAATCACATGTTACAAGTTATTTATTGTGGATAGGTAAGTTAGTCATCTTTTAAGGATACACTCTTGTCTCGGGCACAGAAAAGAAAACGAAGCATTGTCATGAATGTTTCAGTCAGAGTTGTAACCGGTCTAAAAATAAGAGGCCGGATCGGGCCGGCCAATCCAAAACAGTGAAACAAACCGGGCCGGCCGGTCCAGAAATCGATTTAAACTAATGAAAAACCGACAAAAGATATGCCAATTTTCAAAAAATCTCTAGACTGATTAAAAAACGGCCGGTTTTGAAAAAATGTTTAGACCCGTGAAAAAACGGCAGAAAACCGGCTGGTTTTCAAATATTTTCTAGGCGGACAAGAGGGTAGAAAAACTTACTTTCTTTTAGTGAGGAGAGAAAAATGCTAAGAATTTCAAAACTTTTAAATCTCAATTATTTAAAATGTTTTAAGATCTTATAACTGATTTTTCCTAGAATCATAAATAGATAAAACTTACTAACAGGTACAAAGAAACAAGCACGATAACTCGTACATTGAGAAAAAACAAAGTAGTTCAAAGAAGATACAAAAGATATTCCAATTCTATCAAAAATTGGATGAATATTTATAATAATCAGATCTCAACATTCATGACATAAGAAATTTGTTCATCTACTAATATATTGTAGAATAAATTCCTATTAAATGGAAAATGACTTTGTTTCATGTTTATTGTTATTGATAACACTTACAGTTAAATTGGGAGTGACATCCAGAGTGCTCAAAACGCAACTTTGCTCTTAAAAACTCCAATAAATCCAATATCTAGTGAAATTTCATGAATAATATCCTATTCATTTTCTTGTGGCTTATATTTGTAGTGAAAGTTGTTCGTCAATACGATAGAGAAAAGACACTCAACAAAGCGATGTTAATGGCCATACTATCTACCAGTAGAGATGTGAAATGTTTTAGAAAATAAAAAGGCTATAGTATGAGGTAGTACTGTAAAAAAAAGATGAATGAATTATTTTTCCTAAAGCATAAAAACTATCATGATGTGAGTGAAATACATGTCTTATAGCTTACAATCGCCGACTATCTCACAACTAATTTCCTGTTCAGATTAGAAAAGCTTAACAACGTGTATATTTGTAAATTTGCATAGCACAAATAATTGAACTGATTCAATTGATTTATTCTTGAGCTTTTCGAATTTACTGATTCATCATCAGAAATTTGATGTACAATAAAAATTAAAAACTAAAGGACGTTGATAAAAAATTTGATGACCATATCTAATGATGAATCAGTAGATTCGAAAGCTCAAGAATAAATCAATTGAATTAGTTCAATTATTTGTACTATGCAAATTTACAAATATTGTTACAAAAAGTTCTGCCATTATCCTTAGTTATGCTTCTATAGTCCATCGATGGAGAAAGAAGATTTGAAATTTTTCAGAAAACTTCATAAAAAAAATGTAAAATGTAAATCTGCTTTCTTCAATTTTAATTTATCTAAACCGTTTCCAAAGAATGGACGTCTATGCTTATTTCAAAAAACAATGAAATATACATTGGTCTAATATGACAATTCCTAATCAAATCAATACACAGGTTTCGAAACGATGCGCACGAACAATGTTGCGCACGGATTCTTGTGCACGAGGAAACTTGCGCGTGGTATCATGCGCACAGGTATCTTACACACCCGGTTGTTACGCGTATCACATAATGAGACAGAAAATCAAAATGATGATGTTCTGTAATCATAGCGTTTTTTAATCTAGTTTTTAACGAACATAATTAATTATTACGAATAAACTAACTAAACAAGGGTATTGCTAAAAGACGCGAACACCCCCAAATTAAAATCTGAGTTAGCCAGTCGATATAGCTCGTCGAGCTGAGTATAGTAACGCCTAACGAACACCCCAAAACGTTTTTATAGTTTCGCTTTTTAAGCATACATTTTGAATGAACATCCACGAACACCCAAAGAACACCCACGAACACCCAAAGAACACCCACGAACACCCAAAGAACACCCACGAACACAAAGAAGAAAGGGTAAGAACACCCAAATTCATCTTCAGGTTATTCTGGGCTGAGGGTGAGATGTGGGTGAGCCTACTAGTACCTCACCACCACCCCCACACCACCCCCTCAGCTCAGAATAACCTGAAGATGAATTTGGCGCACTTTTTTGGATGTTCTTACCCTTTCTTCTTTGTGTTCGTGGATGCTCGTGGGTGTTCATTTAAAATGTATGCTTAAAAAGCGAAACTATAAAAACTTTTTTGGGTGTTCGTTAGGCGTTGCTATACTCAGCTCGACGAGCTCTATCGATTGGCTAACTC